TTGTCTGCAGAAATAACCGCTGAGAGCTAGTCTTTCTGATCTTGCTTACTTTAGTTGTAGGAAAATTGCTAGTCTTGTTGAGCTGAATGGTCTGTTACTGCATTATCTCATGTTTTACTATTTAATGTTAGATTATGCTGCTAATGTTGAAACTAAAAGGGCGAGCTTTTGGAAGTCCTAATCAGTGCAGTTGGTCTGCATGTGCGCTGAAGTTCCTGGAGCTATGTGTAGCTGTATGTTACTGATCCCTCCTGTACATTACTGAGGTCAAATTTTATTACTCTACCAACAATTATATCCCTCTTTTCAAAAAGTTTTACCCCTCCTACCCTTCCCATGCCAGAGAATGGCAGGATTAGCCTCCGCATGTTTCCACAGAAAACAGAAGTTAAGTTTGGAATTGCGGATAATTTTTCAGTTTTGCTTGGCTGAATCTGAAATCTGAATTTGTACTTGGGCAAATTCAGGGTATTTACCTTTCGATTTATTTTTGCTTATCTCGGGGGGGGTTACCACCATTGTTTGGAAGAGTGCAGTCAACCCTTATAAAGAGTCGTAGTTGGTTTTATTCATGTACTTTATTTTACTTTCCCATAATTGTAGAGCAGCGTTCAAGAACTCTGATATTTTTCAAATGACCAGCAGCGATTGTTCTATCAGCATTAGTATGTTAAGTACCTTACTATCACATACACATATGTTATCTCACTGCTTACCACTGGGCTTATGTGAATCTGAAGGGTTAATTGACAGGTTAGTTGGAATTTGTGGCTCATTAGTCCGTAAAGCTTTAAAGCAAGCTCTGGAATGTCTTGTGTCAGCTGCAGTGAGAGCGCAGTGCTGGCCGAACAGAAGCAGGTCTTAATGCGGACTGATAGAACAGAGACAGTGGGGTGAATCGTTCAGCTCTCGGGCTCTCTCTGATGAGTAATTACGAATCCTGAGTCGGTATGTGGTCCCTGGAGGCCGGCCAGCCAGCAGCACAGAAGCCCAGCTGAGACAGCGTATCTCTTGGGGGCAGAGGTCTTAACCTGGGGCCCAGGCTTTGACACCTGCTAGGCCTCTTTGCGGTTGGGTGCTGAGCTGTCATTGGCAAAACAACTGAAAAATCTAACCCTAACCCCCCCCCGCAAGCCATCTGTCTTCGTTACTCAAGTATTGTTGAAGGAGGCCGCAGTGCTTGTCTTTTAATTCTTAACAAAACATGAACTAAGGTTCCTAGGTACATTAATAAACATGTCATAACAAGAGAAATCACTCTTTTAGCCATTGATGTTTCATTTTAATGTGCAGCCTGCTAATTACGTTTACATTTTACTGTCTTGTAGCATTAGAACAGGACCATCTTGTCCCTAAACTGGACACTATCCCCCTCTCCCTCCCCAGCCAATCACAAGACTTATTTTAATAGCCACTTTGTGTTTATGTATACAGCTTTTTGGAATATGAGCCAGAGATGATGAGCTAGAATCATTTCAGCTTTGTAGAAAGTAAGCAAGGGTAAAAGTGGCCATTGGATAGAGCCCATAGGAGTGGCGCATGTCAACAACTTTGTCATTGACCACTCTTAATATTCAGGTCATGAATATTCATTTTTGTCCAAACTGAGGTTTGAGACATGCAACTGGATTGCTGGCTTTGTTTATATGGTGTTTGCAATGGCTTGCATTTGGCATTTGCTCTTAATTTTTCTTCATCATGTAACTATAGCACTTTTCCCATTGCCAACTTATGACGTGAAAGTGATCAATACAAACTGTTGCTAGTTCTGATGCGAAAGTGATAGCTTGGCCGCTCAAGAGTTAGCAGAATGATGGCATTACTATTCTGGTGCTTGGTTTGCTTTTAAATTGCGCTATTCAGTTATGTGATGAACAGCATCTCAGTCATGATCTGATTAGGCCACCACTAATGCCTCGATAAATAGAACCACTAGAAATGTGTCTCGCAATCAGAAAATCCCTATGGAGTACTAAAGTGTTGACGTCACGCTGGAGCAGGAAGTAAAATTTCCCATTCATTTTACCCATAGATGTTTTTTTCAGTTCACTTTTGAAGCACTTTCCGTTGTTTACCAGCCTCCATCGATTTCAAGATTTTACGTCATATTTCTGAGTAACAAAAAATGTTGTTTTCCTTGACCAGAGTCAGCTTCAATTTAAATCATTTTAATTTTTCGCCACCATGCTAATCCTATTTGCAGTCTAAAAACTACACGTCCCATGATCCTCCTAATTCCCGGGCAGAATGAGTTTAAAATGCGTTACAAATTACCTGCAGCTTGCCGTAGCTATTTGTTTGCTTAGCTTGGTGAGACTGTGAATTCGTCAGCCACTCTACGCTCTACTTAGTTATATTTACTTGCTAGATATCAAGTTTTACAACTAGCGCCAATTTAATAGCAAAGCATCTTTGGCCATCGTCTCTTTGGTTAAAAACTCGCTAGCTAGCTAGCACATGAGCTAATCAGCTTTGTCAACGCATAACTGACCGAGCTACGTAGCTAATTCAGGTCTGCTTACTCATCTAACGCGAGTTAAGTGTCGAAATAATCGCAATTCGTTGTTTTTAAGCGATTAATATTCACCAGGTGAGGCAAGCCGAGCAAGCAAACTGACTTTTAGGTGGCTAACTTAGCCAGCGAGGTAGTTTACCGACTTCGGTGGGCGGCTGACTAACGTCATATTAGGTGGCAATATGTAAATAACGTACCATTTCGCGAAGTGTTCCCAGCTCGACGCTAGCTAAGTATTAGCCAAATAATGGCTATTCACCATTTATATTGACTTAACTAGCTCACTAGCTAGGCTAGCGAACTAGCGATTTTGCTAGCTTAGCCATTAATAGTCGGTGAATTTTAATGCTAGCTAGCTTGCTAAATGACAGTAAGCGACATTAAACCAACCATTTACCGTTAATATTGATTTAGCAATGTGCACAAGGTGTAATAAGCTTACTAGCTGGCTAGCTAGGTGGTTCGCTAGCGTAGCTAAATGCTAGCTAGCTAAATGGCGAAATAATTCATCATGATCCATTCATTTGTAGGCTTGTAGCTAAGCTACCTGATAGTGGCCCCCTATGTGGTAACGGATGCACGGACATAGGCAACGGCAATTTGAAGCACTGATGGGTTATTGTGCGTTGTGAACGTTTGCTGAAACCGAGGTACCTCATTGATTGGGATCAAATCATGGGGCACTCGTCAGCTTATGCAATTGGTATGTAGTTCGCAGAAGGAGACTACAAACTGGACAACAAGTGCGAAAGCATCTAACAACGGTTTTGATGTGATCATTTGTATCTGTATACCCCATAGGCTAATCTCGGAGCGAGGCAGCTCATAAAATTAATGCGAGTTCGAGTAATGCCAGAAAGTTTCCAAACCCCATTATAAATTCCCATAGGGATTTTACTTCCGACACCAGAAGCAAGTAGCGGTGACGTCATCACTTCTCTCCTTACGAAGATAATCTTTCAGAAAATAATGAAAAATAAAATCAACATGCCATCTAGTATCCCCAGTGCACTGCCAGACACGGCCATTCTTAGTTTTGCTGGTCAAGCCTCGTTTTGGCTTTGGAATGTATGGTTTGCATGGAATTTGAGAGTGGTCAGTGATTGCCCCATTATGGTTTTAGAGCAGGGTTAGGGAACCTTCTCCAGAAAGAGCCACTGTGGGTGCAGGCTTTCATGCCAACCAGGCTGCTACACGCCTGGTTGATTAGTAGAATCAGTAGTCCCTGTTTCAGAGACTATGGGTGGTATTCAGAAACGCCACTCACACTCACCCTCCACTCACCATATAGTGACTGGAGTGTGAGTTAGAGATCGACCTACCACTAACCGAGGGAGCGGTCCCAATCATTGCCAGTTGCTATTCACAAATGCCACTCGAGCATAACTGATAGTAGTGGGTACCAGAGTCGGTGCGTCGGCTGCTGCAAAGGGAAGCTTAATCCTCATTTCAGTGCTGAATGACCTAAACCTGCCGCAGTTTACTTTTCTTGATTAGAAAGTTTCTCAGACTAATTGGTAGAACGACAATCAAATTTGTTTTTGATAGCGTTGTTATGCATTGCTTCACAAAATTATGAGGCGTTTCTTTTGCACTTAAATGACGTCGTAAAATATCAACATGTCTTCATAAATTCTGTGGTCGAGTGGCTCGCGAAAGGCGCAAAACAGCCCGCGAGGCTCACGAAGCAACAAGCTGTGAAACGTGCCAAACATTGCCTTCTACATTTAGCAATTCAGGATGTAGAAAAGAATGGATTCTCGTGACTTACGGCTAAATGAGCCTCGCAGACCAATCCACACGGCGCCCCACGAGCCAGTTGAGCGCAGAATTTTCCAACCCATGGGTAAAGAAAAGCGCGAGAAATCCGAATGCATGAGAGTTGACAGGTATGCGTCCTTAATGACAACTGGCCACACCTGAGAATGTTGAGAGTTTTTGGAGTTTCTGCAATGGTAATTTAAACGAATAATTGAAAACAGGGCAAGAATTATTAGTGCTCATTCTAACTTAACAAGTAGAACTGGTGACACACGATGGTCCTTAGGATTTTTGGAGTTCAAGTAAATTCAATTTTATTAAATGATTGAAAACAGGTCATGTCCAATCATTATTTTTAAGGGATGGTTTTGAGCTTACTGGCGTAAGTTAGTGCGGCTCAAGGGAGGCGTTCCCTGTACTCAACCTTCACTCAGAAAGGGACACTAATTTCAGTGTGAATGAAGTCTCTGAAAGCAAAAGAGTGTTAGGGCAACCTCTGACTCATTAAGTATAACCTAAAACTAACTAAGTTTTAGTACTCGCTCAAACTCAATAAGTGTGAGTGTCGTTTCTGAATACGAGCCTATTTCTTGTGATTAACACCTATTGGGGGCACGGAAGGATGTTCTTTGTTATTGGGGGTCACCTGTGCTTAAAGTTCAACAATGCCAGTTGCACGCATTAGTATTCTTTGAATAGGCATACCTAGGATACAGAAAGCACCAGGCACGGATGGGGGTCGAGCCCATGATCCTCGGTTTACAAGACCGCTGCTTTACCACTTGGCCACCATGTCATTTGGTTAAATTTTATACTTCGTGTGCAGTCACACCAATGGTCAAAGTGAAGACATATCCAATGGGGAAGGTCCTTTTTGTAGTCAATGGCATAGATTAGGGTATGTTTGTTTGGTTATCAGAAAAGGCCGTGGTAGTTTCCACTGAAATCCAATCAGTACGAGATGCATGCAGATCAGCTGCATTTGTATTCTTTAAGAGGGCAGACCCATATAGAAGATGCTGGGCACAAACCGGGATCAAATTCACTACCTTCAGTTTACAAGGCAAACGTTGTTCCACTTGGCCACTATGCCATGAACTCAATGAGTATTGGAACTATCATGTTTGAAAATGCTATTATAGAAACTGAGGGCCATGTCAGAATTCAAACCCACAGTCTTTGGGTTACAAGACCATCTCCTTGTTGCTGGGTCACTGCACCACAACACTTTCTCATGGATATATAATATTGTATCGTGGTTAATTAAATCCAATGGTTCATTTTCTTATTGTATCAATATGTAGTGAATAAGTATGGGGATATTTGCACATTCTTTCCACACTAAAATATACATGTTGAGTTTCTGCAAAAAATGTGACTCGAACTTGTGCTACACAGCTGTATTTAGTAACCTCAGTCATACGTAAATGAAATAAAGAGTTCATACAGCATATTTACCGCCATAGCTAATGTGACATAATGCCTCCATAAACCATAGCTAAATAAATGTTGTGTTTTTAAGCTTGACTTAACATGTTCTTATGATGTCATCCTTAATTTACTATTAGCCATTTTGGCATGGTTTAAATAATAAAGCAAAGCCTTCGGAGCCCTCGGGTTCCCGAAAATGTCAGTTCAAATGTCACGGAAATCTCCAGTGTTCCAAAGTGTTGGTGGAGATATTCTATTCCCTCGCTAATGTTCTCAGTTGAGTTATTACTGACCTGCGTAATAGCGCAGTCAGAACCTCAAATTAGGCAGTTTTCAGGCTGACAAAGGGGGCGGTTTGAGTTCATGAGAGTCTTACATTTGACAACACTAAACTGGGGTGCATTTCCCAGAATCACAGATGCTAACTTGCATAGTTGGAACCATTGACTGTGAATGGACCAACTATGTAAGCAATATAGTTAGCAACTACACTTTTGTGAAATATCAGAGATAGAGAATGAAGCCCATGCTACAAGAGACAGCTTGCCACTGGCTGCAAATTCTAGAGTCCAGGCACGGATGGGGTTCGAACCCGTGATTTTCGGTTTACGAGACCGACGCCTTACCACTTGGCCACCGCGCCATCCTATGATGGCTTGGTGTCCAGAGATGTTTATGAGAAGGCCATACATCCACGTCTCCATTCCTCAGTCGACAGAAGAAATTATGTGGTTTTGCATAACCAGTGTTTCGCACACAAATTTTACCCCACAGATTCTCACATCTGGCCCTCATGGTCACTATGCTACTGGATTTCTCCTCTGTCTCACATTACGTGGTCAGATCTCTCGAATTGCACGGATGAACTTCTACCTCGATTTGTAAGTGAGCTTTTGATTATGGTTTATGTTGGAGTCAATGTCAGGGGTAAAGATGGAGGCTGAACCTCTGCAAAATTAGTTTGTCAAATTTGAAGAAAAAAATGGTTTGTTTTAGACTTCATGATGAAGTCCACTGTAATCCTACCAGTTCCAGATGAAACAATGCTCAACGGCATGACATTGAAAGTAATGTAGACTTCACCAAGGTAACTTCTGGTGAGGAAAGTGAATAATATCCTTTGCAGAAGGATGGGTGATGAGTGGAGCTACAAGTGAGAGGAGGTAGAAAGAAGAGAAGAAAGGAGCATGGAAGACAGATTAGGCATGACTGAGGGTCAAACTCGTGATCTCTCTTTCATGTGATCAACATACTATATGCAGGTGGAGACTGCACGTGTGATGGTCAACCTACTTTTCATGGTGGACTGTTAAAGAAGGCCAATGTGAATGAAAATCCAGTGTAGATCTCTCATTTTCAATTCTCAAGTGAAGAAAAACAACAATCAGCAGGGCAAGCGCACAATCAATGCCAGGATACCTGTTGTCTATGATTACAAACAGCATGCATCATGTGGAAGATTATGGAAACCAAAGGCACTACTCCAATGAAGTTTTACACGGTCATAACTTATGCAGTGTTCCCATATGACGGCCTACGGACTCTAACATATTCCCACAGAACAGAAGGCCAGTTAGAATCTGTGCACCTTCCTAAGTGGAACATGCCATTGGGGTACTTTTTCAGCAATTGAAGGCACAGACAAGATAAGAACCCATGGTCTTTTAGCCACAAAATTAATAACTTTCCTAATGACCTAACCAGATAACCCACCACATACGCATAGAAAATATGGCAAGAAGGACTCAGACATTGTGAACTAAGCGCGTGCTGTAGTAGACAGCTTATCACTCACTGCAAGCACCTTATTGAGGCCAGGCACGGTCAGGGTTCGAACCCGTGATTTTTGGTTCACACGACCAATGCCTTAACACTTGGCCACCATGCCTTCCTAGTGATGTTTATGAGAAGGCCATACATACACGTCTCCACACATCAGTCGACAGAAACAATGATGAGGTTTTGCATAACCAGGGTTTTGCCCACATTTTTTACCCCACAGATTCTCAAATCTGGTCTTCATGGTCAGTATACTGCTGGATTTCTCTTCTGCCTCACATTTTGTGGTCAGATCTCTCGAATTGCTAGGATGAACTTCTGCCTCAATTTGGGAGTGCAATTTTGGTTATGGTGTTGGAGTCAATGTCAGGAGTAAGGATGGAGGCTGAACCTCTAATTTGTTGAGTTTGAAGGAAAAAAATGGTTTGTTTTAGACTTCATGATGACATCCACTGGAATCCTACCAGTGCCAGATGAAAAAGTGCTCAATGGCATGACATAGAAAGTAATGTAGACTTCGCTAAGGTAACTTCAGTTGAGGAAAGTGAATAATATCCTTTGCAGAAGTAACTCACATGATAATCTACGTTTCTCCATCTGGCTTGCATTCATCCTGCCCTTCACTGGCTTTAGATGGCATCAATTCAAAATGACGATTTAAGAAGCAAGGATGTTAGCTTTAGCTAATGCATGTTTCTTTGACTCCATGTCCCTTCTTACTTTTCAAACATTTCTTTCCTGTCTGCCTGTGGGGTGGAGCTACATTTGAGAGACAGTAGAAGTGAGAGAAGAAACGGAGCTAGGAAGACAGGACAGGCATGACTGAGGGTCAAACTCATGATCTCTGGTTTATCTAATCTTTCATGTGATCAACATGCTACATGCAGGTGGAGACTGCACATGTGATGGTCAACCAGCATTTCATGGTGGACTGCAAACAAAGGCCAATGTGAATGAAAATCCAGTGTAAATATCTCACTTTTGATTCTCAAGTGAAGAAAAACAACAATCAGCAGGGCAAGCACACAACCAATGCCAGGATACCTGTTGTCTATGATTACAAACAATGTGCATCATCTGGAAAATTATAGAAACCATAAGCACTACAAACCATATAACCATCTGTCTTCATTCCTCAAGTATTGTTGAAGGAGGCCGTAGAGCTCATCTATGAATTCTTAATAAAGAATGAACTAAGGTTCCTAGGTACAGTAATAAATATATAATAACAAAAGAAATCACTCTTTCAGCTATGCATGTTTCATTTTCATGTGCAGCCTGTTAATTATGTTTACATTTTACTGTCTTGTAGCATTAGAATAGGACCATCTTGTCCCTAAACTGGACACTATCCCCCTCCTCCACCCCAGCCAATCACAAGACTTATTTCAGTAGCCACTTTGTGTTTCAGTATACAGCTGTTTAGAATATCAGCCAGAGATGATGAGCTAGAATCATTTCAGCTTTGTAGAAAGTAAGCAACAGGTAAAAGTGGCCATTGGATAGAGCCCATAGGAGTGGCACATTTCAACAACTTTGTCATTGACCACTCTTAATATTCAGGTCATGAATATTCATTTTTGTCCAAACTGAGGTTTGAGATGTGCAACTGGATCGCTGGCTTTGTTTACATGATGTTTGCAATGGCTTACTCGTGGAAGAGAACCGTGATTTGGTATTTGCTCCAGATTTTTCTTCATCATGTCACTATAGCACTTTTCCCATTGCCCAACTCATGACGTGAAAATGATCAATACAAACTGTTGCTAGTTCTAATGCGAAAGTGATAGCTTGATCGCTTAAAAGTTAGCAGAATGATGGCATTACTATTCTGGTTCTTGGTTTGCTTTTAAATTGTGCTATTCAGTTATGTGATGAACAGCATCTTTGTCATGACCTGATTAGGCCACCACTAATGCCTTGATAAATAGAACCACTGGAAACGTGTATCTCGATCAGAAAACCCCCATAGTTCCGGCCTTTCATCTCTCCTTACGAAGATCATCTTTCAGAAAATGATGAAAAAAAAATTAGCCTGCCATCTAGTATCCCCAGTGCACTGCGGGACGCAGCCATTCTTAGTTTTGCTGATCAAGCCTCGTTTTGGCTTTAGGATGCATGGTTTGCTTAGAATTTCAGAGTGGTCAGTGATTGCCCCATTATGGTTTTAGAAACTATTTCTTGTCATTAACACCTAATGGGGCACTGAAAGATGTTCTTTGTTATTGGGGCCACTTATGATTAAATTTCAACAATGCTAGTTACAAGCATTAGTATTCTTTGAATGGGTTTACCTAGGGTACAGAAAGTGCCAGGCACAAATGGGGGTTGAACCCTGATCTTCAGTTTATAAGACTGACACCTTACCACTTGGCCACCATGCCATTTGGTTAAGTTTTATACTTTGTGTGCAGTCACACTAATGGCCAAAGTGAAGACGTATCCAACTGGGGAGGTCCTTTTTGTAGTCAATGGCATAGATTAGGGAAGGTTTGTTTGGTTATCAGAAAAGGCCATGTTAGTTTCCAGTGAAATCCAATCAGTATCAGATGCTTGCTGATCAGCTGCATTTGTATTCTTTAAGAGGGCAGACCCATATAGAAGATGCTGGACACAAACTGGGATCAAATTCACTACCTTCAGTTTACAAGGCCAATGTCATTCCACTTGGCCACTATGCCATGAACTCACTGAATATTGGAACTATCATGTTTGAAAATGCCATTATAGAAACTGAGGGTAATTTCAGAAGTCAAACCCACGGTCTTTGGGTCGCAAGACCATCTCTTTGTCCCTGGGTCACTGCACCACAACATTTTCTCATGCGATATATAATATTGTATCATGTGTAATTAAATCCAATGGTTCATTTTCTTATTGTATCAATACATAGTGAATAAGTATGGGGATATTTGCACATTTTTTTGCACTAAAATATGCATATTGAGTTTCCGCAAAAAAATGTGACTTGGACTTGTGCTGCACAGCTGTATTTAGTAACCTCAGTCATACATAAATGAAATAAAGAGTTCATACAGCATATTTACCGCCATATCTAATGTGACATAATACCTTCATTAACCATAGCTAAATAAATGTTGTGTTTTTAAGCTTGACTTAACATGTTCTTATGATGTCATCCTTAATGTACTATTAGCCATTGTGGCATGGTTTAAATAATGAAGCAAAGCCTTCGGAGCCCTCGGGTTCCCAAAAATGTCAGTTCAAGTGTTATAGAAATCTCCAGTGTTCCAAAGTGTTGGTGGAGATATTCTATTTCCTCGTTAATGTTCACAGTTGAGTTATTACTGACCTGCGTAATAGCGCAGTCAGAACCTCAGATAAGGCGGTTTTCAGGCTAGAAAGGGGGTGGTTTGGGTTCATGAGAGTCTTCCATTTGACAACACTAAACTGGGGTGCATTCCCAAAATCACACTTACATTGTTAGAACCATTGGCTGTGAATGGACCATCTATGAAAGCAATTACACTTTTGAGATACATCAGAGATTGAGAATTATGTCCATGCTGTAAGAAACAGCTTGCCCCTGGCTGCAAATTCCTTCTAGAGTGCAGGCACGGACGGGGTTCGAACCCGTGATCTTCGGTTTACGAGACCGACGCCTTACCACTTGGCCACCGCGCCATCCTATGATGGCTTGGTGTCCAGCGATGTTTATGAGAAGGCCATACATCCACGTCTCCATTCCTCAGTCGACAGAAGAAATTATGTGGTTTTGCATAACCAGTGTTTCGCACACAAATTTTACCCCACAGATTCTCACATCTGGCCCTCATGGTCACTATGCTACTGGATTTCTTTTCTGTCTCACATTACGTGGTCAGATCTCTCGAATTGCACAGATGAACTTCTACCTCGATTTGTAAGTGCGCTTTTGATTATGGTTTATGTTGGAGTCAATGTTAGGGGTAAAGATGGAGGCTGAACCTCTGCAAAACCAATTTGTCAAATTTGAAAAAAAAATGGTTTGTTTTACACTTCATGATGAAGTCCACTGTAATCCTACCAGTGCCAGATGAAACAATGCTCAACGGCATGACATTGAAAGTAACGTAGACTTCACCAAGGTAACTTCTGGTGAGGAAAGTGAATAATATCCTTTGCAGAAGGATGGGTGATGAGTGAAGCTACAAGTGAGAGAAGGTAGAAAGAAGAGAAGAAAGGAGCATGGAAGACAGATTAGGCATGACTGAGGGTCAAACTCGTGATCTCTGGTTTATCTAATCTTTCATGTGATCAACATGCTACATGCAGGTGGAGACTGCACGAGTGATGATCAACCTACTTTTCATGGTGGACTGCAAGAGAAGGCCAATGTGAATGAAAATCTAGTGTAGATATCTCACTTTTGATTCTTAAGTGAAGAAAAACAACAATCAGCAGGGCAAGCAGACAACCAATGCCAGGATACCTGTTGTCTATGATTACAAACAGCGTGCATCATGTGGAAGATTATGGAAACCAAAGGCACTAGTCCAATGAAGTTTTACACAGAAATAACTTATGCAGTGTTCCCATGTGACGGCCTACGGACTCTAACATATTCCCACAGAACAGAAGGCCAGTTAGAATCTGTGCGCCTTCCTAAGTGGAACATGTCATTGGGGTACTTTTTAAGCAATTAAAAATACAGACAAGATAAGAACCCATGGTCTTTTAGCTACAAAAGTAGTGACCTTTTTAATCACCTGCACACATAGAGAATATAGCAAGAAGGACTCAGACATCGTGTACTAAGTGCATGCTGCTGTAGATAGCTTACCAATCACTGCGAACATCTTATCGAGGTCAGGCACGGAGGGGATTTGAACCCCCGATCGTCAGTTTACGAGGCCCACGCCTTATCACTTGGCTACCATGCCTTCCTATGATGTTTTCGTGTCCAGTGATGTTTATGAGGAGGCCATACATCCACATCTCCACACATCAATCGACAGAAACAATGATGAGGTTTTGCATAACCAGGGTTTTGCCCACATTTTTTACCCCACAGATTCTCAAATCTGGTCCTCATGGTCAGTATACTTCTGGATTTCTCTTCTGCCTCAGATTTTGTGGTCAGATCTCTCGAATTGCAAGGATGAACTTCTGCCTCGATTTGGGAGTGCAATTTTGTTTATGGTTTGTGTTGGAGTCAATGTCAGAAGTAAGAATGGAGGCTGAACCTCTAATTTGTTGAGTTTGAAGGAAAAAATGGTTTGTTTTAGACTTCATGATGACATCCACTGGAATCCTACCAGTGCCAGATGAAAAAGTGCTCAATGGCATGACATAGAAAGTAATGTAGACTTCGCTAAGGTAACTTCAGTTGAGGAAAGTGAATAATATCCTTTGCAGAAGTAACTCATATGATAATCTACGTTTCTCCATCTGGCTTGCATTCATCCTGCCCTTCACTGGCTTTAGGTGGCATCAATTCAAAATGAAGATTTAAGAAGTAAGGATGTTAACTTCTGCTAATGCATGTTTCTTTGACTCCATGTCTCTTCTTACTTTTCAAACATTTCTTTCTTGTCTGCCTGTGAGGTGGAGCTACATTTGAGAGACAGTAGAAGTGAGAGAAGAAAAGGAGCTAGGAAGACAGGACAGGCATGACTGAGGGTCAAACTCATGATCTCTGGTTTATCTAATCTTTCATGTGATCAACATGCTACATGCAGGTGGAGACTGCACGAGTGATGGTCAACCAGCATTTCCTGGTGGACTGCAAACAAAGGCCAATGTGAATGAAAATTCAGTGTAGATATCTCACTTTTGATTCTCAAGTGAAGAAAAACAACAATCAGCAGGGCAAGCACACAACCAATGCCAGGATACCTGTTGTTTATGATTACAAACAACATGCATCATCTGGAAAATTATGGAAACCATAAGCACTACAAACCATATAACCATCTGCCTTCATTCCTCAAGTATTGTTGAAGGAGGCCGCAGTGCTTGTCTATCAATTCTTAACAAAGCATGAACTAAAGTTCCTTGGTACACTAATAAACATATAATAACAAAAGAAATCACTCTTTCAGCTATTCATGTTTCATTTTCATGTGCAGCCAGTTAATTACGTTTGCATTTTACTGTCTTGTAGCATTTGAATAGGACCATCTTGTCCCTAAACTGGACACTATCCCCCACCCCCACCCCAGCCAATCACAAGACTTATTTCAGTAGCCACTTTGTGTTTCAGTATACAGCTGTTTGGAATATCAGCCAGAGATGATGAGCTAGAATCATTTCAGCTTTGTAGAAAGTAAGCAAGAGGTAAAAGTGGTCATTGGATAGAGCCCATAGGAGTGGCACATTTCAACAACTTTGTCATTGACCACTCTTAATATTCAGGCCATGAATATTCATTTTTGTCCAAACTGAGGTTTGAGATGTGCAACTGGATCGCTGGCTTTGTTTATATGGTGTTTGCAATGGCTTGCATTTGGCATTTGCTCTAGATTTTTCTTCATCATGTCACTATAGCACTTTTCCCATTGCCAACTTATGACGTGAAAATGATCAATACAAACTGTTGCTAGTTCTAATGCGAAAGTGATAGCTTGGCCGTTTAAAAGTTAGCAGAATGATGGCATTACTATTCTGGTGCTTGATTTGCTTTTAAATTGCGCTATTCAGTTATGTGATGAACAGCATCTCAGTCATGACCTGATTAGGCCACCACTAATGCCTCGATAAATAGAACCACTGGAAATGTGTATCGCAATCAGAAAACCCCCATAGTTCCAGCCTTTCATCTCTCCTTACGAAGATTGTCTTCCAGAAAATGATGAAAAATAAAATCAGCATGCCATCTAGTATCCCCAGTGCACTGCAGGACACGGCCACTCTTAGTTTTGCTGATCAAGCCTCGTTTTGGCTTTAGGATGCGGTTTGCTTAGAATTTCAGAGTGGTCAGTGATTGCCCCATTATGGTTTTAGAGACTATTTCTTGTGATTAACACTTAATGGGGAACTGAAGGATGTTCTTTGTTATTGGGGGCCACCTGTGCTTAAATTTGAACAATGCCAGTCACAAGCATTAGTATTCTTTAAAAGGCATACCTAGGATACAGACAGCACCAAGCACAGATGGGGGTCCAACCTATGATCTTCAGTTTATAAAAGCAACAGCTTACCACTTGGCCACCATGCCATTTGGTTAAGTTTTATACCCTGTCTGCAGTCACACTAATGGTCAAAGTGAAGACTTATCCAACGGGGAAGGTCCTTTTTGTAGTAAATGGCATAGATTAGGGAAGGTTTGTTTGGTTATCAGAAAAGGCCACGTTAGTTTCCACTGAAATCCAATCCGTACCAGATGCGTGCAGATCAGCTGCATTTGTATTCTTTAAGAGGGCAGACCCATATAGAAGATGCTGGGCACAAACCGGGATCAAATTCACTACCTTCAATTTATGAGGCAAACGTTGTTCCACTTGGCCACTATGCCATGAACACTGAATATTGGAACTATCATGTTTGAAAATACTATTATAGAAACTGAGGGCCATGTCAGAATTCAAACCCACAGTCTTTGGGTTACAAGACCAGCTTCTTGTCCCTGGGTCACTGCACCACAGCACCACAGCATTTTCTCATGCGATATATAATATTGTATCGTGTTTAATTAAATCCAATGGTTCATTTTCTTATTGTATCAATACATAGTGAATAAGTATGGGGATATTTGCACATTTTTTCCACACTAAAATATGCATATTGAGTTTCTGCAAAAAACGTGACTAGAACTTGTGCTGCACAGCTGTATTTAGTAACCTCAGTCATACGTAAATGAAATAAAGAGTTCATACAGCATATTTACCGCCATATCTAATGTGACATAATACCTTCATTAACCATAGCTAAATAAATGTTGTGTTTTTAAGCTTGACTTAACATGTTCTTATGATGTCATCCTTTATGTACTATTAGCCTTTGTGGCATGGTTTAAATAATGAAGCAAGGCCTTCAGAGCCCTCGGGTTCCCAAAAATGTCAGTTCAAATGTTATAGAAATCTCCAGTGTTCCAAAGTGTTGGTGGAGATATTCTATTTCCTCGCTAATGTTCACAGTTGAGTTATTACTGACCTGCGTAATAGCGCAGTCAGAACCTCAAATTAGGCAGTTTTCAGGCTGAAAAGGGGTAGGTTTGAGTTCATTAGAGTCTTCCATTTGACAACATTAAACTGGGGTGCATTCCCAAAAAACCACAGATGCTAACTTACATAGTTGGAACCATTGACTGTGAATGGACAGACTATGAAAGCAACTACACTTTTGAGAAACATCAGTGATTGTGAATTAAGTCCATGGTGTAAGAGACAGCTTGCCACTGGCTGCAAATTCCTTCTAGAGTCCAGGCACGGACGGGGTTCGAACCCGTGATCTTCGGTTTACGAGACCGACGCCTTACCACTTGGCCACCATGCCGTCTGACAGAAGAAATAATGAGGTTTTGCATAACCAGTGTTTCGCACGCAAATTTTACCCCACAGATTCTCACATCATGGTCACTATGCTACTGGATTTCTCTCCTGTCTCACACTACGTGGTCAGATCTCTCGAATTGCACGGATGAACTTCTACCTCGATTTGTAAGTGGGCTTTTGATTATGGTTTATGTTGGAGTCAATGTCAGGGGTAAAGATGGAGGCTGAAACTCTGCAAAACTAATTCGTCAAGTTTGAAGAAAAAAATGGTTTGTTTTACTCTTCATGATGAAGTCCACTGTAATCCTACCAGTGCCAGATGAAACAATGCTCAACGGCATGACATTGAAAGTAATGTAGACTTCACCAAGGTAACTTCTGGTGAGGAAAGTGAATAATATCCTTTGCAGAAGGATGGGTGATGAGTGGAGCTACAAGTGAGAGAAGGTAGAAAGAAGAGAAGAAAGGAGCATGGAAGACAGATTAGGCATGACTGAGGGTCAAAAACAACAATCAGCAGGGCAAGCAAACAACCAATGCCAGGATACCTGTTGTCTATGATTACAAAGAGCATGCATCATCTGGAAGATTATGGAAACCAAAGGCACTACTCCAATAAATTTTTACACAGCTATAACTTACCCAGTGTTCCCCTTCAGATTCTTAATATATTCCCACAGAACAGATGGCAAGTTAGAATCTGCGAGCCTTCCTAAGCAGGAGCATGGCATTGGGGTGCTTTTATTGCAACTAAAGGGTACAGACAGGATTAGAACCCATGGTCTTTGGGCTACAAGAGTAAAAACTTTTTGAATGACCTGCACACCTTACCAGATAACCCACCCCATACACAAACTTATTACACTGGCCACAAGCATCTTCCACATTTTATAAGTAAATCAATGGGTTTTTTTTTAATTAATTAATTTTTTGACTGTATAAATGCATAATTCTAAAGCTATGAAGAAAAAAAAACCCTTGTAGGATGAAATGGCATCATGCTTGGATTTTAAGAGAAAATTTGTGTTTCTCCTTTCCATTTACCCCTGAGGGATAAAAGTTTACTTCCTGCACACTGAAAAGAGTAAATATTGGATTTATTCCAAATGATTATGTCAACAGGTGCTGCAATACCATCTTATGTAATTTCCTACTGACTTCTAAGATTTGAGGCTGCATTGATGCATCAAGCTACGAAGAGGTTACTTGCAAACAAACCGCTAGAACCATGCGACGTTTTGAGGTCAATGCAGCTTTCTCGTTCTTAGGAGATGTTTACCATCTAGTGCCTCCATTTTGTCAGATGCCTATTGAATTGCTTTCACTCTATCACACAGGAATCCAGGGTTAAACCTAAGTGCGCGCTAAGGCCAATCGGTCAGGTCCTGTGACTTTAGCTGTGAGGGTGCTGGGGTTCTGTTAGCGGAGGTCACTGATGCTGGGCTGTCATTTTTTTTCTTTTAGGCCTGCATACCATTGCAGGTTCTTCAGAAACAAATTTCCACCCTTAAAATGTGGCTGATCAAAATAATGATGAAATTTCTCAGCAGAGACTTTACTGGGAATACTAAAGGGATTATCAGGTTAGTAAGCACCGCTACACTATAAAAAGTCAATCTACACATTTACGTTACTGCTGTCAAAATTGCATTTGTATGAGTCTTTTGGTGTGTGTGTGTGTGTGTGTGTGTGTATGCATGGGTATGGGTCTGAGACTGGACAGAGAGAGAGAGAGACTCAGAGAGTGAGAGAGAGAGAGTCTGAGAGACAGATAGAAAGAGACAGACGAAGACTGCATTTTCCAGCTACATTAGGAACCAGGCAGATGCACTTTTGCCTTGTAATCGGAGTGGAATCGCACCCTCACCCCTCTTCTCTCCACCCCTGACCCATTGTGGATCTATTTCTGTTTCAGTGAGTCGCTGTGCCAGCTGTCCTTTTCCATAAACACCCCCCACTCAAAAAAAAAGAGAAAATACCCCATGAGACTTGTGAGCTATGAATCAATAACATGTGTTGACTGCATTTAAAAACAGTAAATGCCATAAAAAATGCTATCATGCTGTATATCACAAGAATTGGCAATTGCAGTCCTAGAGGGTTGGTGCGTATGCAAGTTTTTATCTCCACCTGACTATCCTGACTAAATTAGCTAATGGGCTACACCAGAAAACATGAGTTTGCTCATAGATTAGGATCTTCATGAAATGTTTCAGTTAGAGAAAAAAGAACTGGTTTTTGTGGTCATTCACCAGCTCCCACAGAAATGCAGTTAAAATACAAGATTTTGTGAATGATTTGGCTACTTAAGTAATAATCGGTCAGAAGTTGTCATAAAAGTCAAGAAGAGATATTGCTCTCCTCACCCATCTCTTACATACAGAGAGGTAATGTGGTTTGGACACCTGGGCTCTGCTCTTGAGGCTGGAAGGTTGTTGGGTCAAGGCACGCATGGGTGAAGAATTACAGACAGTAATTCAATGCAGAACAGTGTCTCTGAAATTTTGATGGGAAAAATTCCAGAGGACCTATTTTTAATCATTTAACCGCACAGACACAGGGAGTAAATATTGAAATGTCTCGTCAATGTGGTGGAAGGGATGGATTTCAGTGATGGAACGAAGTGGGTTAATGAGTGGGGCGACCAAACTGTCAGTCACTGAACCGCATCAATCAATCAAAAGACGTGACTCTCCACTATGCATCAAATAATTCTTTTTACTCTGTCCGTTACTCCTGAAACTTTTCAGCGTTCTGAACTTTGCATGAGTTAGCAATGCTGAACTGCGGAGATGTAAATTGTATTTTTTTGTGTGCCAGTCACAAATAACAAATGATGCCCTGCTCTCTTGTTGCAAATGTGTTACAGCGTTCAGTCATTCACCAGAAATAAACATGGAGGACAAGCGAATGACACGGCCATTTTTATGCCACTGGCACAGCAACTGATGTTTGGGACCATAGAGACCACCGACACAAGGCGTCTATGCGCTAGTGTTGTTCTTGGGGCACAAAGAGGGGAATGTTGTCCTGCTCTTTTTCCCCCTGTCATCTTAGCTGATTCACAGCCCACCCCATGTCAGTGGTGTGCATTACTCCCTGTTACTCCTCAGAGTCGGTGATCTTTACTGTGCTGTCAGCTCTGGCCCTTGGAATGTTACATCCTCGTAAGGTTTTCAGAACTTTTGTACCTGCTGATGGACTTCGGGTTGTACAGGATACGAGTATCTGCAAACTGCTAAAAATGTAATATTGTGTAATGTTACCTGTGGTAAAGGCGCTGTTGTATGAGCTTGGAGTCTGATCGCAAATTGAGCCCGAGCCAGACTGAAACTCGTCTAGACACATGCTAACAAGACGTGCTGGAATCTACTGCATCCATGTTTGTTTTTGGTGTACTACACCCACCTCCCTTGCACAGAGCTTTTTTGCCCTCACTTTGCCCATAGTGGTGGCCGCTGTAAACTCACAGAGCAGTGTCTAACCAATGTTACAAATCGTGGTGGAAATTTCTAGAGATCAGTTTCTTTTTGCTTTGCTTCATCAGGTTGGTAGGGTCATGCCCAAAGGGAAAGGAGTGGTTTTTGAAAGTGATGGGGGGAGGAATACAGGATACTTTCCTCATATTTAGCTTTGAAAAGCGCAGGAGACACTATTAAATGTTTTGACCTTTGATGTGGTCATGTCCAGCCCATCCGCCTTTATGCATTGTTTAAAAATCACT